TTGCAGACCCTGGGTGGCACTCTCTGGGGCTCTCTCCCACGACCACTCTTGCACATCAAGGCAGAGGAGGGCAGTTGTTCACCTATTCTGATTTGAAAATTGCTGGAAAGAGTTTTTTTATCTAAAAAAGAAAAAATTCCCTGGTCATTTTCATGGTGCATAAAGTGATGCCATTGGACACAGTTGTCTTTGATTTGAAGCTTTACTGGCCTAGAAGTGGATTAGGAAGCCGGTACCTCTCTGACACATTAAATCAGAGAAGCGTGGAGTGTCAAAATTAGAAACACCCTGAGTGATCCCTTAATGGTAACCAAAATCCCACAGGAGACATGGCTTCCCACGGCCACAGAGCAGAGTGGTGACAGACGAGAGTCCCAGTCTTCTTACATCAGACCCCCCACTTTTCCACCACAGTATGTTATGTTCATTAGTGCTGATGGGGGTTCATTTCACAAAGGGCTTTGCAGCCTATCAAATACAGAAAATGCCAGGTCAAAGCCAGGCTGGCTCTGGAACGGTAGAAGGAAGGCCGAGTAAGAGGAGTAACTTGGTGAGGAGCCATGTGGAGAGTTCTAGGCAGTAGGGCTGAGGCATAGGGGCCTAAGGAAGAAGACAGCATGGGCAAGGGACAGAAGTGAAGGTCCCATAAGGCAGGGTCCCCAACCTCTGGGCTGTGAACCTGTACTGGTACATGGCCTGTTAGGAACCGGGCTGCACAGCAAGAGGGAGTGGGGGATGGGGGGTCAGAAGGGGATCTTGAGGGGTTCGCCTATCATCAGATCAGCTGAGGCATTAGGTTCTCACAGGAAAGTGGACCCTGCTGTGAACTGTGCATGCACAGGGTCTAGGTTGCTGCTCCTTATGAGAATCTAATCCATGATGATGTCCCCCCATCCTCACCTCCCCCATACACCTCTGCCCCATTCATGAAAAAATTGTTTTTCAAGAAACCAGTCCTTGATGCCAAAAAGGTTGGGGACCGCTGCCATAAGGGAAGGAAGGAGGACTAGGAAAACAAGATGGGCCAGTGGCAGAGACACACGCCCCGCAAGTACATTCTCCCTCCTTTACTTCTATGGAGATTCGAGGTATTTAGGAATGAAATTTTGTCTTATGGTAGCAAAAATACTGTCCTAGAGGTCAAAAAGAGCCATGGCGAGCTTTGTGATCTTGAGGAGTCATTCAGCCTTTGTGAGCCTCTGTTTCCTCACCTAGAGTCATGACCATGTTGCAGCCCCTCAACCAACCCTTAAAAACAGGGTCAGACAAACGACATCCCTGGTCTTTGGGAAATAATAAAGACCTGGTTTCTGAGAGCCATTCCATTTATGTTCTGAAACTAATCTCTCACTTAGAGTCACAAAGAACTTGTTTTCACACAATGCAGTTGCCTAGGCTCATTGCAAGTGGATGTGTTTGGGTGTGTGAGAAGTTGAACACTGGTTTATAGTTTCTGAAGTACCTTCTCCTTCTAAGCAGAGGAATGACTCATCCTCTGACCATGATGTCCATGTTGGCTTATCCTGAACACATGCCCACCCACCCCCGGAACTGTTGTACAAATCCATCGAGTGATCCCGTTGAAGGCTACACCCACACACTGCCCACGTGTGTGGAAAGGTCATGTTCATAAAGACATCCATCTTAGAAATAGATACCTTTTTTCTGGAATTTTTCGTTGCAGTAATTTCTGAATTTTAAAATGCAATACTGAGCCTGTCTTTTTTGCTTCACATCTGTGAATTACTAACATATGTAATCATCCTGCCTTCCTATTTTTTTGTGTTAGATTTTGAATTCTCCTTAAATAACTCTCAAATAAGCTCCAGAAACTCTCAAAGATACCTAATTAGTGATTACACTTTGCAAATAAAGAAGCATTTCCCAGCTAGTTGACTCAGTTAGTTAGAGCAGGATGCTGATAATTAGGCCATAGCCACAGGTTTGGTCTCTGTGTGGGCCGATTAGTGAATGCAGGCATCTCACAAGGTAGGCGTGCAGCTGTGGTCCAAAGAAGGACCAGACGAGAACGCACAAATGCAGATGTCTCAGCAGAGACCCATTCCCACTAGAAAGAAAATATTTTGCTATTAAGTCAGCAATATCACATGGGGAGTTCAGCACACCTTCAACACAAATGGAGGAAAGGAGACAGGTAGGAAGGGAGGAAAGGGAAAGAAAAGAAAGAGGAAGGGGGGGAGACAGAGATGGGAGGAGAGAGAAAGAGGGAGGGAGATGGGGGTGGGGGAGAGGGAGAGAGAGAAGAAAGAGAAAGGAGTGAGGGAGGGAGGGAGAGACCAACACATGACAGGGACAGGTGCGCAGAGCTAAATCATAAAGGAGGACCAACAGAAGGAGCCAGAGCCAAAGCTGGCGTGACCTTCCATCAGGGCTCTGCTTCCCATAGGCTGTGAGGCAGCTTTGTCTTTACCTGCTCAGTGGCTCTCACAGTGCTGATGCACTGCTTTAATTTGGGATGCCTTTCTCTTGAGAGGCATGTCTTTTCTTGCTCTAAGTCTAAAGTGCCCCCAAGTGTGGCATTCTCTGTGACAGATGTACTACAGTTATGCTTTAGCTGACTCCAAACCCATAGCTTTCCAGTGCCTGAGTGGTCTATTTGATGTCCAAGAGTGTGTTTCCTTCACGAGCTGGTCTTTGCTGAAATACCACCATCCAAGAAGGTAGGAAGGTGTAATCCCTTTGTTCTAAAACAGCCACTGACAAATTCTGCAGCCCCACCCCCACTGAGGCTGTTCTTTCAGGTCTGTGATGCATTTGCTGACGTGTGTAAATACCCTGGTCCCATCCCGTGGAAAGGCAGTTCCCACAGAGACAGAAGAGTCCTCTCCTTTCTCAACTTCTTCCAAGGTTGTTCCATTTTCATAGATGATCCCAAATCCACATCGCCAGGGAGATGAGAATCCTGTCCCTCGCTTTGCAGAAGACTCAGTATTGTTGACAGATCAGACGTTACTGGCTGGACCAGTCAGATCCCTCCGCGTCCATCTGTGGCTCCTTTGTGTGTCTGTTTCTCGCTGATGAGTGCGACCATTCTTCCCTGAATCCCAGCCTTCCTACCTTCGGAATCGCTCCTGAAGGGAAGCAGAGCTGTAGCTGGGGGCCTCTTCTGTTGCAGCATGTGCCACTTGTCTTCTACCAGGCATCGCAGCTCCTGCCGCTCTGGGACCTGCCCAAGGAGGCATTACTTCTTCAGCTTTCTTGCCTACCAGAGGAAGGACTTGACGTCCCTCTCCCATGTAGCTCACTTTTCTTCTGGCTCACTGATTAGGTCAGAAGGGCACCATCTTAGCGAGAAGACTTCATCGTCCTCATGCTTGGTAGCAACTCTTAAGTTAGAGCCACACAAAAGCTCACTGCTTTTAAAGTCCCCTCTGAAGTTCAAGGACATCCCCCTTTGTGGACTCAGCACTTGCCTTTCGCCATTTTGCTTGAGACGGCAGAACAATTAATTATTCCACTGCCCAGAACACGAGGGGGGAAAGAATTTGAAGAGTTATTCTTTTATTATTTCTTGTGTTTGTTTATTGTGCTTTATTGTAAATATATCTATTGGTTTTCTTTTCTCTTTGATAGCTTTCTGCCTAGAATTTGTTCATTACTTTCAGTTATCATTTATTTAGTGAAGGCGAAGCATAGATACTCTAATATAGTCGTACTCAACACAGTGCTGTGGCATAGTAGTTATGGATAAATTAACTGAGGCTTTTTTCCTTTGAGTTTTGTGAAAATTCTTCAAAATGCAGAGAGCAATATCATCCTACAGTTTGGTAAATATGAGCTTATACATCTGAAAATGTTGACAATTGAAGAAAATTTATTACTTAAATCCCTAACAAGAAAAACAATCATTACAGCAAATTAATACCTGGCTTACTGTGGAGAACTCAGGGCCTGAAACAGCTGTGTCCTGCCTCTCCCTCCACCCCCAATCCAGTAGGCACATATAGATCATGGGCAGAGTGTCTGTTTTTGTGCAATAATTGAAATGTAGTGGTCACAGAGTAGACCTAGACACAACAAAATTTCCCTTTCTTTTTTTTTTTTTGAGTGAGAGTGACATTATGTATGGTTGTTGTCATCCAGACCTCCTCTGGTTTGATTTTTAAATAGCATTTCTTCTTTATTACTATAAAGAACTATAAAGAAGAAAAAAATGCTCATTGTCCCATTCTTAGAGCCCCCCTCTTGCCATTTATTAAAAAAAAAAGTAGTATATTTCCGTGACTTAAAATGTCAATCAGTACAGATAGGAACAAAATGAAAAGCAAATACTTTCATGGTTTTATTATGAGATTCCTGATTCCTATCTGCCTAGGGGCAGCCTCAGATATGTTCCTAAGAAAACTCCAAACTTAAGAATAAAATAAAATAACACTGTCCAAAGAAACATAGAAAACAACAGAGGTGATAACACACCGCATAATGCTCCTTATAAAAACCACCTCTGGATAGTAAGAAAAGATGTCAGTAGGACTCTAAAATGCTAAAAAGCCATGATCTGATAGGAAGTCAGGAACAGCTTTTCACGGGCATATTTGAAGTTACCCTGAAGACTGTAAAGTTTCAGAGTAACTGAAGTTAACCTGTTTTCAGGACTGGTGGGTAAGTTATGAAGTAAGAGTCAGCAACATGCTTCTCCAAGACCATGTAAAAAGGAATTCACAGCGATAAGGGGTCAGCTGACCGTATCCAAGTAAGCTAAATGCAGAATTGTTTATGATCAGTTTCCTTGAGCAATTTTATAGTACTTCTGTTAAAATGTTAATAGCTTTGAGTGATCACTAAGATACTTCTGCTAATGAGTTTTAGAGATATATACTAGCCAGACCTTCATATATGACATGTACCAATCAACACTAGGCTCCACATCTCCCCACCACTGAGGACTAAGTGACAATGTGATAGTGTATGTCTTGACCACTTACTTAAAGGAGATCACAGTATGTTTCATCTCTGGAAACACTTTCTTTCCACAGGCC